TCTGTTTGCTAAATAATGTACAGACCTCTATCATATGACAGCTCATTCCTGGCAAGCAGTTCTTGGCCTTAGACTCAGCTTTTGCTTAACTTAATAAGTCAGCCTCCTGAATACATCTGTTATCTCCTGCACACAGCAGGTCAAGGTCCTGCACTGTTCTCTGGGCTTCTCACACAACAAGAGGAAGAGCAGAAACCATTTGTTCAAATCAACAGTCCTCTCCACAAGATGCCTCACAAAAATTCGGGAATGAAGCTTGTCTGGATCAAACACAGTTCTTAAGCACTGAGCCCACAAGCCGGGCCTTTCTTTTGCCTCCCACCTCATACGAGCATCGCTGGAGAGCCCGGGCTAAAGCAGCAGGTGTTAGCTGAGACCTCTTCATGCAACTGGAGCACTATGGTAGGCTCTTGTAGAAATCCCAAGTACCAGCCACCTGGGAGAGGATCTGAGAGCTGTTGTGAGTCAGTTGCCAGCAGCAGCCAGGACCCCTTCGAACAAGGCAAGCTGCCTGAACCCCAGGTGAACAGCAGCTACGGTAGTGTATCATCTGCAGAGCGAGGGCAGCAACATGCTCACTTCGTCTGCTGGTGGCAACACATGAACAGGGAAAAAGAGGTGCAAAGATCAGGCAGTGAGGGTTAACTACAACCTCTGGCCACCACTCAGTGCAAAAACCCAAAAGTCACGTCTTTATCCTTTTTCCCTATTATTTTTTTTTTTTACACAGATGGTGAAAACCTGCATTGATGAGCATGACGGAGGTGTTAAGAGAGAGTAACATTCCCACAGATCCTAAAGACGAATTGCTACGTTAGCAGGACAGCAGCACTATCACAGCATGTTAGTTCAGAGACCAGCGCGGTAAGAAGCAGCAAGCAAAATCCATGACTGAGGAAAGGGAGAGAAAGGAAATCCCGTGGTTTTAAATAGGAACACAGTCTGCTCCCAAGGTGACAGCAGTCAGCACATCTTTAGAAAAAGAGACTTGAGGAGCAGAAGGGGGCACTGGCCCACTGCATGCCCCAAACGTGTTTGTTACTGGGTGAGGGTTTGGGGCATGCTGGCCAGAACTCAGCTCCTCTTGTGAACTCATGGATGAGCCAGCCCGGTGGCCCCGCTGCCCAGCACCTCTGCAAGAGCCTTGTAGCTGCGGAGCGCTGCAAAGGCAGTGGAGGAGAGCAGGGCTCTTGCCTTCCCCAGCACAGGAAGAAACACACTGACCAGCCAGGCTACAGCCCTCTCAGCTTGGTGGGTTTTAGGTAACTCAAAAACAACCAAAAAGGAAAAATAAAACAATCTGACTGCCTTGGGTTTGAAGATAGTTGTGGACAGAGAGACCATTTGAAAAGTACTTCAGCTGAAAGCATGGGATTTCTTTTCTTTTTTGTCTTTTGCACTGTGATATCCAGCTGTCCCCACAAAATTAGTCAGCACAGAACTCCCCCATCCTGTGATTTTATTTTGTACATCATCAATCATCACTTACTGTCAGGTAAGCCTGAAACGACAGGGTTATCTCCTGCAGGGCCCTGGACAACCTCAGCCCCATCACTCAAAGCAGAGGACGGCCAGAAGCTGTGCGGTTGTGAGTGACCCTACGCTCCCCACGCTTCAAGGCACGACACGGGGCACGCGTTGCTCCTTCCAGCTACTGGCAGTGCTGTACGCAAGGCAGCCTGGCTTCGAAGGACCAGGAGCTGGTCACGGCCAAAGGCAGCGGGCTGGGCTGACGCTCATCCATGATTTCATAGGCAGTGCTCAGTCCCGTGTTCCTAAAGATACTGCTGACAGCCCCACTGGGATGGCTTTGCCTAACTCATACTCCAAAAACACAAATAATGGGGGTCTCCTTACCTTTGGGTGTCAGTAATGCACCACCAAGCCCAGGCCCAGCCTCCATATACATACTGCTTTACATCAGAGCCACAACAGCCACCTGCAGCACAGCAGAAAGCACAGGAGATGGAGGGATTACACACATGCGTGTTGCTCAGCCAGGGACAAAGCTGCACCCAGACCGAGTCATGAGCAGAATAACTTCGCAACAAGCCTGCCCAGCCCCTGGGTGCTGAGGAAAGGGCATCCTGGGGGGGGTCATTGGATCCCCCAGCCCCTCGGAGCAGGGGAAGCACTCTGGCTCGGCCATGTTACAGCAACAGGTGCTACCAAGCCAAGCTCTGTGCAACACGACCCAGAAGAATCCAAGCATACTTGCAGTGTCTGATAAAATAGTCAACACAGAAAACTCTTTCCAAGATCCAGAGCAGCCCTGGAACACCCTTTGGTCAGCCATAACACAGCCGGCCACCAAGGAACCAAACGCTCTCCTCACCTCCACACCTCACCTCTCCTCACCTCCACCTCCATGTGACCACGGCAATTTTCCAAAGGCAATCTTTTTTTTGGAATTGTCTTATAAAATTGGAAAATAGTATTTGTTAATAATTCAGTGTGACAAACAATAACACACAGAAAGTGACTGTATTTCAAACCAGGGTTTTATTTTAGTTTTGTTAAGCGGTTCAAGCATTTTTAGCAAACAGAATCGTTGTAAGCACGTGCTTCAGTATCTTTAACTGTGATGCACCCGTTCTGTCATGGAAAACCATGTAAGAAATCCACCTCCTTTTCCTCAGCCACACTGCAAACCACCCTAAACCCATCAAAAAGCTAGCAGTCAGAGTTGAGGAGGGGAGAACCCTTGCACTCCCCAAAAACATCTTCTAGTTCTGGCTCATGCAAGTACTGTGGTTCCTGAGGCTTTCACGGTCCATCACAGAGCTGTGCCCGGAGTTTGGGCAGCCTCTAGAACTCCTCAGACACATTTAAGATTTGACCCCAGTGAAGCCAGAAGACACTGTCTGGATTTTCCCATCTTTGATTCAAGGAATAAGACGCCTGCTACCTTCCAGGAGAGCACCCTGCCAGCGACCAGCCCTAGGTTTCATGCCTGGCAAGGGAGGAGCTCTGCAGCTCGCCGGCTCGGACCAGGGCTGTGAGCTGCCATCTCCGGGGCAGATCAAGCCAGCAGTCCCTCCCTAGTCTGTTATCCATAATCACACTTGTTACAGCAGCGCCCGAGGGCCCCAGCAAGGCAAGCGCTGTACCAACAGAGCAAAGAGACAGTTTCAGCCCTGCGGGATGTATCTACGCAGGCAAGACGGAGCCAGCGCAGAGGAAGAGCAGGCACACAGGGAAAACAGCGTGGCTGCAGCACTGTGGGAGCTTCGCACTGCGGGAGAGGAAAGGGAGAACTCTGAAGCCAGCAGACGGCAGCCACAGAAGACAGCCCTTTCAAGAGAGATGACGATTATTAGGTTTGCTGCAATAGGTCAAAATGAAGAAGCAAAGGCAGCACGCATCTAGGCCAGCGTGCTGGCAGGGCCCTCTGGACCGCAGGAGGGGACTCTGTCCTCCCCATCCTCCTCCTCCCCATCCTCAAGTGTTTGGCCATCCTCCACTACCAGCTAAAGACACCACCTGCTTTGCTGGCTTCCATGCGATGGTTGATAAACTGGCAAATTGGCCCCATCTACAGTTCTTCACCCTCCGACTTCAGTAGGAAATAAACACAAATGGGACGTGGATTTACACACTTTTTTCAGGTCTCCTGTGCTCCACAGACTAGAGTAATATTCTCCCGTCACCTCAAAGTCAGCCTCTGGATAGCTTCTTCCTGTAGCTGGAAGGTTATTTCAGCCAAGCAAGGAGTTACAGAAGCTGATGATACAATATCCTGCAGCATATTAACCGCAACGCCTCTTAACATTTCTTGGAGGACGTCAGCCCAGTTAGCTCAGCCTTTTAGCCAGGCCCTTGTTTTCCAAGAACAGGAAGGGAGGTGTTCCTGGCAGTCAGGAAAAGCAGTTCCACATGGAAAGGTATTTTATTTCACAGGGTCTATGTGGTCTTTACCGAACTGCTGGTAATCGTTTCATAATAATGTTCCAAGAAAACTCTGCACCCTACACCTACCATTGTTACAAGAACGTGCTTCTCCACACAGACGTTTCTTTTCTTCTGCAGGCAATGCAAGGAAATACATTATTTAGTATCACACCCAAAGCGAGCCCCGTGCTTGCTTCCCAGCGCTACACAACATTGCTGCACTGCACAGTTTGCTAAGCTAGATTATATGTCAAAGAATGCTCAAAACATAACAAAAAATGGGAAAAACTAACACATTAAACAGGAGCAGGATGCCAGCTGGTGGCTTTCATGCAAGCCGGACGTCTGAGTGCAGCAGAGCTCTGTCCTGGTAACACAAGTCAGATGAGCTGAACGCTCATTTTCCATTGCAGTCCTGCAGCCTCTTTCCCAAGTCTCAGAGAGCAAGTGAAAAAGGAACCAAAGTGAAATCTTTGCAAGGCTAAAGAATAAACCCTCTTGCACAATGAGATTTGGCAGAGAAACTGCCTTTTCCAGCTATAATACGCCCACTGTTCTAGCAGGCCGGGTCTCACAGCCGCTTGGCCATCGCTTCCACAAACATCCACCGTGCCTCTTCCGGGGCCGTGTACGGCAGCCAGGCACACTACAAACGGAGGATTCATAGCCGGGAAGCTGCCATCCAGCTTGGCCTCTTCCCAAACAAAGGGGTCCCATGTTCAAGCGAGAATTCCCAGAGCCAGGAGAAAGCACATTGTCTGGGTTTGGTTTTTTTTTTTTTTCTTTAATGAAATGAGATTAATCGCTTGGGAGTTTGTAGATAAATGGAGCTCTCAGCAGATGCAGGAAGCTGCTGCCCCGATGGACGGCACGCAAGGAAGAACAGGAGCCTCAACACTTACGGGGCCACAGGGCTCAAAACATCAAAGCCAGGACAACCTGAGGTTGTGAACAAGCTCTGCGTTGTTTGTTCTCCCGAGGTAACTCAAGGCAATGAGCTTGTATTCTGGCAGGAAGCGGTGAGCGTTCAGAAACCAGGTTGTGGTAAACAGGCTGCTACGATAACTCGATAACTATATCCCAGAGACCGTTGTAGGCTGAACACAAGAACAGAGCAGACACCGCTGCCTTCACCTGCACAGAAAGAGCTGCCACCTTCACACCTCAGTTCAGGGCAATCTGGCGCTGAAGTCTCCTCATCCAGGAGGACCCACCGCCCAAGCTGGGAATAAACAGCTCCGTCCAGTCGGACAGAAGCTGCGTTTGTTAGAAAAACAGCCCCGTGCCGGGAAATGTCATGGGGTGCTAGCAAGCGAGTGCAGAAAGCGAAGGAAAAATTGATAAACAGTTACTGACAAAAAACATCATGGAGAGGAGAGAAAAAGGCAAGGACATACAGAAAGAAACTCACGTAATAAAGCAGGGTCTAGACTAAAGTCAGCGTCTGGATTCTTAGGCCCTACTGTGCATATAAATTAGGCTTTGTCCACATGCGGAAATGGCACAAGGTTAACAAAAATTAATTTTAAAGGATGCAGGCTTCTGAGCTGAATCCATAAAAATCCTTTGATGGTGACTACAGCAGATGAAAGCAGATTATGCTGGCTACCTTGTTCTGGATGTAATCTATATCAAAATGACTCATTTCAAGCTATGAGTATCAATGCTACAGAGCAAGTTTAAAAACACACATTTAGTTTAACTCATCTTGTAAACAGAAACCCAGAGAAGACAAACCACAGTGAAGTTACACAACAAAACTACAAAACTACCAAAAGGAAAGCCCCGAGGCTGTTCTGTCCACCTTTCTCCTGCTATGCTTTCTGAAGAGTAATTTGCAAGTCTTGGAGATTTAAGGAGCACCTGATAAGGTAAACCTTGAGCCCCACCACCTGCAAAAAGCTGAGGAACGACCTCCCAAGAAGGAAACACCACAGAGGAGCTGCATCAGTTGCCTTTTGTGCAAGCGGTGAATAGCTGTATTGAGCACTGGCAATCTCATGCTACAAACTTGAAACAAGCTGTGATGCTGCACTCTGGACTGCGACCACTGAGCATCACAAGCAGCATGAAACCAACTGCTGGGAAAGATTTTTGGCTAGCCAAAATGGAGAACCTAACTTTGCAGGAGCACTCAGTTAAACCTGGCAGACCACAAGCAGTGCCACTAGAAGTCTTCTGCACCGCTCGCCTGGTGCGAGAGGTAGAATACTGTGATCTCAACCCTGGGGAACAGTTTTGAACTCCAGCTTCAAAGGCACAAATGCAGACAAGGGTAAAACCTCACGTGAAACCCAGCCGAAGCTGCCTACTCCTTCCCACAAACTCATGCTGCTTTTGAGGCTGAAGAACTGGAATTGCAGCTAGCCAGCATCACATAGGCCTGCAGTTGGAAGCGGAGGGGCAAACCAATGCCATCAGCCCCACCACGAGCGTTAGGTCTCAGATGGCTCTTGCTGCTCACCATGTCATTCTGCAGTCCGCAGCCTGCACCTTCTCCTCCTGTTTCATTTTCATGCAATTGACTGTTCTCACGTTCTCCACATTTCTCCTTATTGAACTGCATCGTATTTCTTTCGGACCATTCGGTCAATCTGTTGAATTCGTTTTGATTCTAATCCAGCTCTTCAAAGCTCTCGAATCCGTTCCCAGCTCAGTACTGTCTGCAAATTCAATAAGCACATTCTCGATTCCATTATCCAGGCCAAAACAAGGAACTTACTTGATAAATCCTTTCAGCTGAACAGTGAGCCACTGTCAAGTTCCCTGGCAATGGTTTTCCAGGCAGTTTCATATTAATTTTATAGTGTCTGAGAAACCAGTTCCTCCTTGCAATGTGGACTGTAGGCCTCTTGCAGGAAGGGCTTGCAGAGCCTCAAGAAACCTTTATTTCAGGCTTTCAAAACTTAGAGAAATACCATAAAAACAGCACAGTCACATTGGCTCAAAATCATGACCAGTTCCTCTTGCGGGAATAAGAAGGATGCAGTAACAGGATGCAAGAGCTTAGAGCAGCTCTGGAAGGGTTAACTACCCCTGACTCCTGGGGTG